TCAGCTGCAAGATGGAAGGCTTAATTGAATTAGACACGTTCTAAAAGCAGTAAATATCACTTCCCATTAGAAACATACAGTTGCATATGAATCAAAGCTCCAGAATCAAGATACAGACCCAAAATTCTCCAACGTTTAGGCTCTGAATCCATTCTTGCACCCAGATTGGTACATATGAGCTTCCCCATGTGCTGCATCCCATCCTTTAGAACCTGCATGCAACAATAGAGAATTTGATAAATTTAAAATTGGAAGTGATCAGAGTCATGATTTTGTCACAAGTGATCTGATACTCCTCCAACATTAATAACTTACCCAGCTTACGACAGTTGCTTGGGCAGGGGTTGGTCGCAAGCCTGCAGCAAACAGGAGGGACTGTAAAGGAGTAAGAATGCAGCCAATGACCCAAATTACAATTGTCATTAAGATTGCATATTTTGAGAGAGAGAGAGAGAGTGAGCACATTTGTAGCACTTATATGATGAATCATAATACCACAATCAGAAATCCAAGGTGCTATTCATAACAAAATTTCATATGGATAAAGTACCATGCAAGCAAAATAAACTTGATTAGAAGTACCCAATTTATGATGCTTTAGAAAACTGTTGTCATTTAACTCATCAAATGCTTTGAAGGTGTCAGAAAAAGACCTGAGTTGAAAGCACTGACAGGGCAGCACTGGTGAAGTGCTGCAGTGCTCGGAATTGTGTGTATCTGAGATATCCTTCGTTCACACTGAATAAGTAAAAAATCATAAGCTAAATCAGTAATTGAACTAGTCTATGGGCTATCCAAGAAGTACGAATCAATACGTTACCTATATGGATATCCTGAGGGGAAAAATTTACTGACAAACGAGTCAGCCATCTTATTGAATACTGGCCTTGAGTCATCAAGAAGCTTCACCTGCAGGAAAATCAATGCAGTCAAAAAGTAGTTAAAAGAAAAAAACAAGAACAAAACCCAACCTAACTGGCAAAAACACATACTTGACCGCAGCTAGTTCATGTAATCCGCTTTCTAGTCCCTAAACCCGAATTCCGAACCGGACCCAAATTCCCATAGACTATGTAGTGTATTTTACCAGGAATTCTAAAACATTGTTGAACCAAAAGCGTCCTGATTTTCATCCCAAAAGCAGACTACTGAAAAATTATACCATGGTTTTTTGCCAAAGGCCCTTCTTTGATTCCCAAACCACATCCAATTTAAAGAAGCTTCTCTCTTTACCCATTTGTTAAAATCAAAACCAAAAACCCAACAACGAGTGACTAACTTACAGTGCTATTTGACTACAAAGTCCCCAACTGGGCACCTCATTAGAATTTAGGGTTTATGGTTTAAGGCAAGGGTTGCATTGGCTGCTGAAACTAACACTTACCCAGAACCCGCAAGTGAATATACAAATCATACAAGGTGAAGAAAATGGAACTTACAGTGAGTTGACCCTTGGGGTCAAACTCGCAGCGGTACGAGACTGATTCAGAGGTTTCGATCCAGTACACCGGCACCTCATGGGTTGGAACTTTGTCTGGTTCCTTCTTCTGCATCTTTATCTTCTCCTATTGATTCATGAACGATTAAGAAAAAAAAATGTACGTTAAAGCAAAATAGAGAGAGAAACAGAGTGCGAGGAACAAGCCGTATACGTAGACGGTATACGTGTATATGTATATGTATGCGTGTACACGTAGGCGTAGAGACATACCAACAAGTTCATGGAGGGAGAGGGAAGGACTGAAATGGGTCTAGCGCCGATAAGAATTTCGGCGGCAGAATCGGAGGGCCAACCCTCCTGGGTAAAGGCGAAATAATATTGAAGGATAATGCGTCGCCAGCTAACGGTGTCGTTTTTGTTGGATTTCAGTATCTTGAGCTTCGCTACATTAATGAGCAAGGATGATGCGACGTCGTTATAAAGGTTTACAACTTGATGAAGAGGCTCTCCTACTCTCTACCCTTTGGATTGCATTTTAGCACTTGTTGTAGCCAACAAAAGGCACTCACATTGCTTTGAATTCCAACAATGAAATAAAACTTACTTCTCATTGGTAGGTACACATTTTTATTCTAAAATTTGTTTGATAGTAAAAGAGACATTCTCCTTCTCTTCTGAACGTTGAAAGAGGACCCAAGTTTGATTCGCCCCTCTCCATTGATTAACAATCAAAAGCTTGGTCAAGTAACAAAATTTATGCAGAAAAAACCAATTTTAAATATTATCAAGAGTAATAATTACAGGCTGAGATAAGATTAATTTACACAAGTGAAAATTGCCTGAGAGGCATGACTTTTGACAATTACAAGATTCCACAAACAAAAGCTATGTCTCTCTGTTCAGGCTCTAGCTCGTGCAAAGCTCCTATGGAAAGGTCGACCAGCATTTCCTCATTCACAGTGTCATGTCCGCATCATCTTCATAGTCATAATCTTGTTCACTTGAAGGCCTGATTCTCTTCGCATCCCTCGGCGCAGGTCTTCCCTTCTTTGGTTTTCCTCTGTGACATCATTTATATAGTTAGAACGCTGATTCCAGGACTCAATGATACGGAACGATTGGTAACATCTGTTTTCTATCTTTGATACAGCTTGAGTAGCAATTCTAACACAACATTTAAAGTGTACAGAAATAGTGGAGTACTTACTGCCCGTTCGCATATATACCGCCTTTAGAACGACCTGGACCAAAGTCTGATCTCCCATCTACAGCAAACACAAGGGGAGAAAAAAATAAAAAAGATTGCACAGGTTGCTATATATTTGCTAATATATAAGCTTTACCATCTCGTGCGGCTGCAAGTTCTTCAGCCTGAAAGAAGAAAAAGACAAACTATATGAATATCCATTTAGCAAAGTGGATTAAAAGCCAGCACTGCCTTTGAGGCTTTGAACTTTTAAGTTCACACACATTCACTTGAATGAACCCGTATTTTGGTTAAGACAATAAATTACAACAATGAAAGATGAAAACTGGTAAAGCCACCATAACGGAACTTTTAAAGTTCAGAATACTTACTGCTGGTGATGTGACAGAAGATAATGAGAACATCCTATCTTCAGGCTGAAATTTCCTTGATCGCTTCAAGCTGCAGCCAAAAGTTTTGAAGATTTCCATTCCATTAAATATGGATACAGTAAATCCAATTATACAAAATTTGCACAGATATAAGTATATAATCCAGAAAACATCAAATTTACGCATTGGTTTACTATTACTTGCATGTGGATCCTTATGCATCAAAAAATCTAACTGGAAAAATAGACTATTTGGCGAGATATATGTTGTAAGAACATTCAATTCAGATACCTTTAGAGAAATGAGTAACAACCAATTGTTTCCCAGACTGAAATCATGTCTCAGACATAAAGTAGTGTTGCCTGAGTCAATCCATTCAAAAGCTCCTAATATCATATATAGAAATAATATGGACTCGACATGTAAAACCATGTCATTCTGTGAGTTTATGTCTATGGCTTGGGGTTGTTCATGGCTAATAGGGACCACCTAGATGAGCTAATACTGACGATTTTAGCTTGAAAAGTGGTCAGTGAAAGAAGTGACCCTGTTATAGCATGATAGAATAAAAGAATTCAGCTAGCTAAGCTAAAGATAACATGGAAGAATAACAGGTCGATGACTCGATATCAGGCATAAATACCCAGAGTACTCAAACAGTAGTTCCTGCTTACAAGTTAGTGTTCTTGGATGAGGATAGAAACCCTTCAAAACCTTTTAATACATTGCCACATTGAGTTGGATCCTGCAGATAACTCGTCTCCAAATCATAAACCTGCATTTAAAGAAAACATTAGTTCCAGTGTATCACATATGCAGAGCAAAAAAGAGACAAATGAATTTTCCATCCATAGCTTATGCTGCAGCATACAATAACCAGTAAAATCATTTATTAAAAAAAGGAAAGAAAGCAAATTCCATGAAATAAAAGGTCTTCCATTTCAGTTATATCCCCGAAAATGAGCCAAGAAATCAATAAACCCAGAAACGAAAAGGCTCATCCCCCACCCCCCAAATTATAGAAGAAGAAAGAAACATGTGAAATATTAAAAAATATATATAAAGAATGAACCTGTTTCTCAATGCCCCGGAGTTCGTCTTGAAGCTTGGCTCTCCTACTCAGAAGAGAGGCAAGCATTACTGATGGGTTGTTCGCCGTTTTCTGCCCTGCCAAATATTTAACAGAAAAAGAAATCAAATTCATAGACAATAAAAATCAAGCTCGAATATTTTCCTTTTTTTTTCCATCGAAAAAAATTATTCAAACGCATACCTTCTGAATCCATTCTCAGCAGGGAATCGTTTGACAGTTGCCCAGAAACCAAAGTTTGCGAAACCCAAAAACCCCCAAATTCTGGGAAAAATTCCGTAACCTAGGGCACACAATTTTCAATCGAGAGCACACAGACCCAATTCACCCACGATTAATTGGATCCGTCGGGTCGGGTGCGGATGCTCCAGCTTGTTACTGGTAACCACACGTGTGTTTTTTTGGAAACCACACGTGAAAACGTAAACAAATGAAAGTTGTGAGATTTCGTAAAAATTGAGGGATCGAAAGCGCAAATGAAACATGAAAAATCGATAATACCCTCGCTGTTTTTGTAATGTAGTAGGGTAAAAATTGGCATTTTCTATTTCGCCTATTCACTAATTGACCCAAAGGTCTGTTGTCTTATTACTCCAAAGTATTGACAAATTACTAATTAGCCCATACATTTATAGGGATTTTTGTTGTCACCTCAATTGGACGGCAGTTGCGAGGAACATGTAACTCTAAGTAGTTAACAGTATTTACCTCTGTATCTAAAATCATGTGTTCAAATTCCCGCTCACTAACTATTCGCGTACGTTAAATTCTATTTTGTTAATGTATATCAGTCATTTTATTTCTTGATAGCCCACTTGAAGGGAACAAATATTATATTAACTCCAATCGATATAATAAAAATAAAAATTAAAAATTGGAGCACATACATGGATGGCTGACTTTACGAGGTGTAATGGGCTTCAAGTTTTCAAGGATGGAGAATGGATTGGTGTGGAGCCTCTTCCCAATGCACTTGTGGTCAACATAGGCTATCAGTTACAGGTACATATCACTATTCTTTATACTGAAGATTATTATATATAGTATGTTCATGATCATGACAAATTTTTGTAAACATGGATGCAGATTATCAGTAATGGGAAGCTGAAATGTGCCGAACATCGGGCCGTTACGAATTCCAGAAGTGCTAGGACATCTGCTGCATTTTTCTTCACTCCTTCCCCTGATTGCCTCATAAAACCTGCAGGAGCTCTTATTAATGCAAGCAATCCCCAACTCTACAAAGCGTTTCAGTACAAAGAGTTCTTTACCAACTATGCTATGAAGCAGGGTCAAACCGACATTGTACTTGAACCATTCAAGCTCCAAGCTTAGTTGATGATCATGCTCTTGAACTTTTGGTTGAGCTTTGTTCATTTGAATAACTGTCGTTTTGCTCTATGTAGAGGCAAAAGCAGAGCAACTGGTCCATATTTATGTGGGTGAACATTGACATTGTAAAATTGTTCACCGGATCATTCAAGTTTAAAGAGAAGTTTATTTGTGACACAATAATGAGTTTATTGAATTCAAGAAGTTGTGCTCTCAAACAGAAAAACTTGCAAGATGATGTAAAATGGAGTGATTTCAAGCATAGAAATGAAATGTGAATTGCCCAAATCACCCTTCTGTTTTAGTAATCTAGTAGGGTAAGAACGACATTACATATTTAGCCTTGTTCATGAACTGACCCCAAAGCTCTGTTGTCTTTAGGGCTGAGAATTTAAACCAAAGAACCGGCCAACCGACCAAATTGGACCAAACTAAACCGATGAATCAAGTTTTTGTTTTTGTTTTTCTGAATTCTAATTGTTAACTGAACTGAACTGCTTTGGTGCGATCCAATTTACAATTTAAATCACTCCAAACCACGGTTCGACCAAACCAAACTGACTTCTATGTAGTCATTTGGCAGTCGGTGGTCGGTTTTGAACATTCGGTTCAGTTACTAAACCAAACCCAGGCCTAGTTGTCTAGTCGGAATTATTGGCAAATTGCGAATGGATCCTTTTGCAGTTGAGAACATATTTAGCTACTCTGAGTTTCTAATTATCCTCTTCTGTCTTGGTCATCTTCTTCAGCTCCTCTCCCGCTAAAATGCATCAACCAAAGCAAGTAAAAACCACCTTGTTCAATTGTTCAGAAGATCACAACTTTCATAAGCCTAAATTTGCCTTGCCAGCAACAAAAGCAGAGTATGTACGTGGTGAGTGGACAACGTTGCGGTGGTAATGGAGGTGGGTCCCTCTGACTCTGAAATTCTGTCCCCGAGTCAACGTCAGGGCCATTGCAATTTGCAAGCGTTAGTTTTACGCACCATCACCATGTGTACGTATCTTCATTAGAGCAAAAGGGTATATATAATTTTATTTTATTTTATTTTATTTTTTATTTTTGGTTCAAGGAAATGAACATGTCATTACCTTATAGGGTTACACAAGAGCCGAATACAAAAGTCAGAAATAAAAACAAGGGTTCAACCAAACAAAATACAAGCCCAATCCAAAATACAAAAAAGCCCAAAATAACCTAAAAACCCCAAAAATACAAAAACCCTAGAATCAACCCTAGATACACCAAGCAGCCGCCGCCACCTAATTTGCCACCGCCGCCGCAACTAGAAGAGCAAGAAGGTTCAGGGGAACCAACAATGGGGATCTGTAGAGCATGGAATTGGGGAAGCAAGCCACCAACATGCATCATGCTCAAGCGATCCAGTAGCAGGTATGGGTCCAAAAGGGTATATATTATGTGAAAGCGTAATAAACAAATCAGACATGACACTCTCTTTGTTGCCCAATAAAATTCAGGTTCTTTTAGTCACACTTTGCCCTCATTCACACGAATTTGAGCACAAAACTGTGTATTTTGAAGTCATGGCCATAGTGATCTTGTAAGACTTGTATTGCCTACCTTCTCTGACGGAGCCAAAGATGCAAGGATTTCACTCATAGTCCTAACTGCCCTACCTAGAGAAGAACAACATTATAGGGAGTATAATAAGGCTTAGAAGCTAGAGAGTAGTCTACAATCATAATTATTTCAATTTTTTTCTTTTTCTGTCATCTTTCTGTAAGTTTTTATGAATTCAAGATAGAATGATTTGGCAAACAAACTGTTCGTTATAGCTTGGTACACATTGTTGGCCCTTTCCATAGAGCTAAAGCTTTTGGGGTCTAACGGTTGTCAAACAACTTAACACAAGTACTCCAGTGGTCTTCTTTACTATAACCCCATCTAGATGCCACCCTTTTTCCACCCACCTTGATCAAGAGACAGAAAGTCCAAATCCTATGGGTCTAGCTCCTTCAAATCCGTATAAGATGCTCCAAGTTTTAGCATCTCTTCCTATAATTATGTTATGATTTTCTGCATATATAATCGAACGGAGATGAACAGTTCTAAAGAGATAGATTGCTACCAACCCTTGATCGACGGTCCTCAATTAGGCCCTTCCCTAGTGGTGTCCCCCTCAGTCATCAAAGAAAGAATAGTCCAATTAACCAAGACAAGAATAATTATAGAGGGTGCAATTTCAACTCCAGTCCTTGTCTGGACTGGACTCTGTGCATTTGTTTCCTTTCAGTAAGTCGAAAGCAAAGACTTCAAAATTCAATATTCAAATATTACGAAGAAGGTGGAGCCTAGTAGCGTGTGCAATATAATATAGGATAATTCATGCATGCAACAAAGCAGATCACAACTCTCTTTCGACTGATTAAAGTATATCTCTAGGATTGTGAGGCTGGTAAGTATAGCTATAGCAAAAAGAACCATGGCAGTTCCTAGTCACACAATGCCTTGTGGAGTCTTCTTCATGTTCTTTTTTTTGTCCACTGTCATCTCTACAAATCATGCATGCAACAAAGCAGATCACAACTCTCTTTCGACTGATTAAAGTATATCTCTAGGATTGTGAGGCTGGTAAGTATAGCTATAGCAAAAAGAACCATGGCAGTTCCTAGTCACACAATGCCTTGTGGAGTCTTCTTCATGTTCTTTTTTTTGTCCACTGTCATCTCTACAAATCATGCATGCAACAAAGCAGATCACAACTCTCTTTCGACTGATTAAAGTATATCTCTAGGATTGTGAGGCTGGTAAGTATAGCTATAGCAAAAAGAACCATGGCAGTTCCTAGTCACACAATGCCTTGTGGAGTCTTCTTCATGTTCTTTTTTTTGTCCACTGTCATCTCTACAAATCATGCATGCAACAAAGCAGATCACAACTCTCTTTGGTCATCTTTTGATGTACCTTCTTCTGCTTTAAACTGGTCTTCTAGTGATTGTTGTCACTGGGAAGGCATCACTTGTGAGAAGGATGGTAGGGTAACTCATTTGTTGTTGCCCTCCAAACGGCTCCAAGGAAGCGTTTCTCGCTCTCTTGGAAACCTCACGCATCTTTCGCACCTCAATCTCTCCCACAATCAGCTTTCTGGTCCTCTGGAAGCTGGACTCATTTTGTCCTTGAGTTTCCTTGAGATTCTTGATTTGAGCTACAACCTTCTCTCTGGTGAAGTACCTTTGTTTCAGCCATCCAGTTATATCCGAATAGTGGATTTATCAAGCAATCAATTCAACGGAACAATTCCTTCTTCATTCCTCCAGCATGCTGGTAATTTGAGCAGTTTGAATGTCAGCAAAAATCATTTTACTGGCCAAATGCCATCCTCTATCTGTCTTTATTCATCTTTGGTTAGAGTCTTGGATTTCTCCTACAATGATTTCAGTGGCTCAATTCCTCTTGGTCTAGGGACCTGTTCGAAATTGGAGGTCTTTCATGCAGGTTTCAATAATCTCTCAGGGACCCTTCCTAGTGATATTACAATGCTCAGGCACTTGAAGAAATTTCATTACCTTCCAATAAGCTTTTTGGTCCCATCAGTGACAGGATTGTCAATCTTACCAGCCTCACAATCCTAGAGATATACTTTAATCAGCTGACCGGCATGCTCCCTCACCATATTGGGAAGCTCTCCAAATTGAAACTCATGCTCCTTCATTTCAACAGTCTACAAGGTTCTCTGCCCCCATCTTTGATGAATTGCACAAACCTTGTAGAACTAAATCTGGGATTCAACCGTTTGGAAGGAAATATCACAATGCTAAATTTCTCCAAACTTGGTCAACTTATTAAGCTTGATCTGGTCAGTAATCACTTCTCTGGTTTCATGCCGGTAAGCCTTTACTCATGCAAGTCCCTGAAAGCAATTCGACTGAGCGGAAATGATCTAGAGGGACAAATACAACCTGAGATTGTCTCTTTAAAATCCCTGTCCTTCCTCTCCCTTGGCAGGAACAGACTGACCAATGTCACAGGGGCCATATCTATATTGATGGGTTGCAAAAATCTCAGGGTACTCACCCTTCCAAATAGTTTTCTAGGAGAAGAACTACCTGATGGTGAGGCTATGGTTGTTTTGGGGTTTCAAAATCTCCGTCTTCTTGGTTTATCAGACTGCCAACTTACAGGTCATATACCTGTATGGATGTCAAAGCTCAAGAAACTGGAAGCCCTGGACCTGTCTACTAATAGACTCACAGGCTTAATACCTGGTTGGTTGGGGACTCTTCCTAGTCTTTTCTTTATAAGCTTGGACAATAACTCCCTTTCAGGTGAACTTCCAAAGGAGCTTTTCAGACTACAAGCACTGGTATCAGAAAAACATGCAACTCCAACAGACCATGGTGATGTTGAACTGCCTATCTACACGCAACGCACGAATCAATCCATTACTGCTTTGCAGTACAACTATCTGTCCAACTTGCCGAGAGCAATTTACATCCGAAACAACAGTCTAAGTGGCAACATACCGGTTGAGATTGGCCAATTGCAACACCTTCACGAGTTGGATCTTAGCGTCAACAACCTCTTTGGCAGCATTCCAGACCAGATATCTAACCTCACAAACTTGGAGAGATTAGACCTCTCAAGAAACCATCTGTCGGGCGCGATCCCATCTTCACTGTCAAATCTTCATTTCTTGGCTTCATTTAGTGTTGCATACAATAATCTGCATGGACAAGTACCGTCAGGCACTCAGCTCCAAAGCTTCGATGCCACTGCCTTTGAGGGTAACCCAGGACTTTGTGGTGCCCCGCTTCCGAATGAGTGCCAAAAGATGAACACAAATAATAATAAAACTTCTAACGTGGAAGATGTACATGACAATGCGAATGGAATTCCATGGCTTCATATTTCAGTGGCTCTTGGTTTCATTATAGGATTTTGGGGAGTTTGTGGCCCTTTAGCTTTGAGCAGGTCATGGCGATATACATATTTCGAATTTCTGTCCAATGTTAAAGATCGCTTTCTGGGGTAGTGAAGTGTATTTTTCCATGGGAAATAAAAGATTTTATTAACCATAGCTGCTGCATAGCAACAATCTAAACCATCCTGATGCAAGAGCATAGGGAGCTCCTTCAAATCCGTATAAGATGCTCCAAGTTTTAGCATCTCTTCCTATAATTATGTTGTGATTTTTCTTCAGTGGCCTCTTAGATGTCAAATCACTTTGTATTCATTGTGACGAAGAGACAGAACAGCAGCATATGGAATGAACTGGAGGACTAAAATGGTGAATCTGTGACATGCGTTCGACAAG